AGAAACTTACAGGACCTTATGGATCTGCTACCGATTGCTTGGTGCCAGATACCACAGCATTTACACACACACACAGTCAAATTTCAAGCCATGGGTAGCCCCCATAAATTGATTTAAAAGTGGACTGTGCTGGGTGTAAAATTATTGGCTGAACAAAAACTGCACCCTATCAGATGCAGCCACCATTTGGCAGCACCATTGTATCCAGCAGGAAGGTTGAACAAGAAAAAAACAAGCTGTGGAATGATAGTTTAAAGTGCACCTAAACCCAAAAACAAAACATTTAATAGTGTTGTTTCTTTGACTCAACCCTGTATCTGCCACTTTTCCTAGACAGCTTGGGCTGTTAAAGGAAGTTGAAAAATATCAGACTTACTAGAAGGATCACTGGGTGAATATATAGAAAAATATAACCTAAAAAGGCAAACTAATGCTGCCACCACATCTAAAGCTACAATATATCAAATCTTTTGCTTTTGGGTTTAGATGCGCTTTAATAATTATGACGGATGCACCGATACCAATACTAATATCGGTACCGATGCCGAGTATTTGGGCGAGTACACGTACTTGCCCAAATGCTCCGGTGCCTAGCCCGATACTTCCAGTACCAGGAAGCCGGGCAGTGAGTCATTACACGCTGCCTGGCTTCCTGATTGGCCGGGAAGCTGGCTCCATGCTTCCTCGTCACTTGTAACAAGGGAGCAAGGAGCCGGTTTCCTGATTGATCGGGAAGCCGGCCAATCAGGAAGCCGGGCGCAGTGTAATGACGCGGCGCCCGGCAGCCAGCTTGAGCTCTCTCGTCACCTCATGACAAGGGAGCATAGAGCCAGCTTCTTGGCCAATCAGGAAGCCGGGCGCCGTGTCATTACACGGAGTCTGGCTTCGTAATCGGGAAGCCGGGTGGCGAGTCTTTACACAACGCCTGGCTTCCTTAATGGAACTTCTGGTATCGGTATTGGCGAGTTCCGAAAAAAAAAGTATCGGTACTCGTTAACGAAATACCGGTATCGGTGCATCCCTAATAATTATAAAGGACAAACTGGACTAAGGGAGGTTGAAAATAGTTGGTGGTATTTTGGAGGCACAAATTTAATACATAGCATTGGCTAGGTAAAACTGGTTAAATTAGTGGAAACATTTCCTTTTTTTCCAAAGCAAATTTAAGTTAAAATGTAAACCTAAAATTCATCTTAAGATGTCAGAGCAAAATAAAATTTTTAAAAAATGCAGTACACCTTTGAAGAACATTCTCATTGCCCCATGTTTTATCCATTCAAAAACACTGTAAGCACAGAAATATACCTGTTGATCTGCCAGAAATCCCATGTGCTCCTAACTTCCAATTTGAGGGGACAAAGACAGTGCCCGTTGCTGCACTGAAATCCCATCATGGTCAGTCCTGCCAGTTGGATTATAGAAATCCACCTATCTCCTACCCCTCCCTTTCTGACTTCATATATTAATTTATATTTAGTTTATATTAATTCCCCAACAAAGCAATTGCAATACTGCTACTTTATAAAGTAAATGTAAGTAAATACATGTGTATATGCAAATTATTAATATGTGACTAACATATGTGATCTAAAATAAAAATTTTATTCCTATACAGTGTATACCGCTAAATAAATATAAGTGACAAGGATTAATCGTGAATAACAAATTATGATAGTGTGAACAACCTATGAATAATGGTTTCTAAATATCTCTATGATCAATTTAATAGTGATACAATTGTCCTTATCTTCTTTTAAGGGTGTCTTAATTTAAACTAAGTGTTTATAAAACTATAGGTAACGTGATCTTCGTGCTTAGTTTGTGTAATTCCAAAACAAAAAACTTCTTTTTTTTTTGTGTGAAAAATAAAACAATTATGCAATAATAAAAAAGTCTCTGTGATATTTATCAGTCCATTCCAAGTGGGAAAGTAGAGTGGTAAAATGTTCCAATTATTCAGTGATGTACACTTAATCCTTATTCTGGGGAGTGTATTAAGATCAATATCATTCCCCTCAAAGTGTGTACTCACCCCAGGTATCCGGCTGTAACAGACAGCCCCACACGCTTGTATTTCCCAGAGCGGGATAGTTCGGTATGTTTTGCCGGCAATTTCTCCACACTCGATTCTTCAATTAAAGCATGTCCATTCTCTCATGAAAAAAACGGAGAGAGGCCCTTCATTGTTTATTTTTCACACAAAAAAAGAAGTTTTTTGTTTTGGAATTACACAAACTAAGCACGAAGATCATGTTACCTATAGTTTTATAAACACTTAGTTTAAATTAAGACACCCTTAAAAGAAGATAAGGACAATTTTATCACTATTAAATTGATCATAGAGATATTTATAAACCATTATTCATAGGTTGTTCACACTATCATAATTTGTTATTCACGATTAATCCTTGTCACTTATATTTATTTAGCGTTATACACTGTATAGGAATAACTTTTATTTTAGATCACATATGTTAGTCACATATAATAATAATTTGCATATACACATGTATTTACTTACATTTAGTTTAGATTGATTAGCGCTGTGCATTAAGTTATACTCAGTTTGTTAGACTGTAAGGATCTATATCGCAGCAGCTTTAAATTTATACACTTCACTAATTTAACTGGTAGTGTTGTATATTCATTGGAAATAGTAGTGCTGCCCATTCAGTTAAAACAATACTGCTACTTTGACTTCCAAGAGTCTTACCACACAATGTGCTCAGACAAATGCCCTGGGACTATTTTCCTAGCAGCTGCCCCTGCAAGGATTTTACAAACTGGGAGATGATGTCACACCGAGCAATGAAAGCAATTTTGTGCTACAGGAACAAGGTAAACAAAATCTGGGATATGCTCCAGAGCGAGATAGGGAGGTCTAAGGAGTAACTGTGGGTAATGCCTGGATATGCAATAACAACATTTTTGGACTACAAGATATATATCACCTCCACCTCAAAATACACAGTTCTGCCCACTGAAGTCTTCAATAGACTGACTTTAACCACCACTCTCCACTAACAGGAGAACTATGAGGTGAGTGAAAATCCTCATAGTTTGAGCCAACGTGTGACAATTAAACTGTCACACATCGTCTCAATAGATCTGGAAGTGAGCAAACAAATACTGTTGCTCGCTCACTTCTCAATCATCTCCCTGCGGAGAGCAGTGACTGTCAGTCACAGCTCCCTGCAAGGATTCTTCCCTCTCCGATCCTTCAACGCTGAGTTTTGAAACAGATGGGGGAGGGGGCGGGTACAGCTGGCTCTGCCTCTAGATAGGCAGAGCCCACTGTCACTCACGCAGCTGGGTGTATCTCGACAGTAATGTCGGGATCCGTCCTGGCTGCGGCGGTCTCAGTATACCGTTAGCTGCAGCTCGCAATATACTGAGCTTTGGGTCACGGGAGGACACTAGTATATGTCCTCCCGTGACCCTTAAGAGAACAATGGGGAAAAACACTTACCCCATAGTTCTCTTTTAAAACTTCAAACTTTAAGTCAAGGACAAGGTAGTAGAAAATGCCTTTTTTGACAGCTTTTTTTTTTAATGTTTTAACACTTCAGATTCGCATATATGCACTATATTGCCAAAAGTATTGGGATGCCTGCCTTTACACACACATGAACTTTAACGGCATCCCAGTCTTAGTCTGTAGGGTTCAATATTGAGCTGGCCCACTCTTTGCAGCTATAACAGCTTCAACTCTTCTGGGAAGGCATCCCCAAGGTTTAGCAGTGTTTCTATGGGAATGTTTGAGCCTTCTTCCAAAAGCGTATTTGTGAGGTCAGGTACTGATGTTGGACGAGAAGGCCTGGCTCGCAGTCTCCATTTTAATTCATTCCAAAGGTGTTCCATCGGGTTGAGGTCAGGACTCTGTGCAGGCCAGTCAAGTTCCTCCACCCCAAACTTGCTCATCCATGTCTTTGTGGACCTTGCTTTGTGCACTGGTGTGCAGTCATGTTGGAACAGGAAGGGGCCATCCCCAAACTGTTCCCAAAAAGCTGGGATTGTGAAATCGTCCAAAATGTCTTGATATGCTGATGCCTTAAGATTTATTTCCCTCCACTGGAAACTAAGGGGCAAAGCCCAACCCCGAAAAAAAACCCCCACCATGATCCCCCCTCCACCAAACTTTACACTTGGCCCAATGCAGTCAGGCAAGTACCGTTTTCCTGGCAACCGCCAAACTCAGACACGTCCATCGGATTGCCAGACAGAGAAGCGTGGTTCGTCACTCCAGAGAACACGTCTCCACTTCTCTAGAGTCTAGTGGCGGCGTGCTTTACACCACTGCATCTGACGCTTTGCATTACACTTGGTGATGTAAGACTTGGATGCAGCTGCTCGGCCATGGAAACCCATTCCATGAAGCTCTCTACGCCTGTTGTTGTGCCAATCTGAAGGCCACACAAAGTTTGGAGGTCTGTAGCTTTCAACTCCGCAGACAGTTGGCGATTTCTGCGCACTGTGCGCTGATCCCGCTCTGTCATTTTACGTGGCCTAGCACTTATGGCTGAGTTGCTGTTTTTCCCAGTTGCTTTCATTTTGTCATAATACCACTAACAGTTAACCGTGGAATATTTAGTAGCAAGGATATTTCACGGATGGACTTATTGCACAGGTGGCAACCTATCACGTTACCACGCTTGAATTCACTGAACTCCTGAGAGTGACCCATTCTTTCACAAATGTTTGCAGAAGCAGTCTGCATGCCTAGCTGCTTGATTTTATACACCTGTGGTCATGGAGGTGATTGGAACACCTGAATCCAATGATTTGGAGGGGTGTCCCAATACTTTTGGCAATATATATATGTATGTACTCTTTCACATAAACACAACAATGTAAGTATGATAGGACAAAATAGTTTGTAAATGTACATTTTTCTAAATGTTAAATCTGAAATTCAGGCAGATATAAAAATAACACATTGTTCTTTTATCATGATGAATTCCTTCACAGTCTTTCTACTTGTCAGACACTTTTGATCTTACCCCGCTAAGACAACTCCATCAGATGTATGAACATCACACAACACCTTCCCCAGTTCATAATGCAGCTGGCTCACAGTGCCGATACGATTCTGAAACAGATAAAAAGGCAATATTTCTACAAAAGATTTTTCTTCACGAAAAGCCACCACTAGCTTACAGCTAGAATTGTTCTTATATTCCTGGGAACATGCTAGAACTTATAAAATTGTCTGGTCTAGACGTATGATTATTTTTCATGGTATGTACCATGAACACAAACCACAGATTTTGTGTCAGATCACATGGTGCCACGTGATTCACTCATGCCATAATTTCACTGTTTATTTTTCCCAGAGCCCCCGACAGTAAAGTAAAACATAAAATAAAATATTTAAAACAAATTAAAATTTAAAAAAGGTTAGTAAATAAATACATTTTGGTTTTGGCCTGATACATTTTTTATTTTTGGTTTTGGTCTGAAAATTCAATTTCAGTGGACCTCTAGTGAAAACATTGAATTAAACAGATATACTAAGCTCTCACTCCTTGTCTACAGTCACCTACAGGATAATGCCTGATCTATGAGAGCAAGAGTTCTGAGTTCCCACATTCATAATGAGGACCCAACTGAAAATTCCAAACCCAAAATGTTGCTATTACTTGAACTATGTACTTTGTGACAATCAATAAAACCATTAATCAAACAACAGCACAAGAAGAGTATGATCTATTAAAATAAATGAACGTTCAGTTTCTTGCATTCTGAATACTGGAAGATACCCAACTAAATGAGAAATTAAAAGTGAAGCTGAATGAAATGAACAGATATATGGAATAGTATCAGCAGGGCATGGAAGATATTCTGCCGTACCTTGAATTAACCAGATGCTAGAAATACTGGCTGATCCTGGTTAGCATTGCTCATAGACTCAATTTAATTGAAATAATTGATTTTAAAATTCAACTTTCCATAATCTTTTTTTATATCCTTTGAGACTTGGTGCATGCTTCACACGTTAGAAGCAAGCTATCCAACCTGCTGTTAAAACATATGTGGACATAACACCATTAAGAGATGTCTAATTTTCATTTTTGAACAGGGTTATTCCAAACAAGTCAGCCTCTGACTTAGAAATATTCCTTAGGGCGATCACGTTAAAAGTCAGAAAAAAAAATGCTTTTATAAAATTTTAATGAAATACTAATAAATTCTCACTAATACATCACAGGTCTCTGGGGAGGGGCTAGAAATTGGCAACACTTGATGTGGGATCTGCTTAATGCTTCATTGGGAACAAAAATCACATTATGCAGAACATGTGGAAGCTTCTGCCAATTTTTGCAGGTCCCTGCGGGTGTGAAATATGTTGGATAGAGTGCAATTGTTAGCTCATTTTAAAAGTTTGAAGACGCAGTGCCCTGGATGGGGACACATCGCGACCGGTCCCCAGAATATTTCATATCATTATGGAAAGCAAGCTCATTTGTATATTTAAACATGTAAGCTGACATACGCAGCTTGCCAGGTGGTCAACATATGTCCTTTTTTTGAGACCCATTCCCGTACTACATTTTGCATATGCCTGAGCTCACTAGTGCCCAAGTTTAATCTAAAACATGTATGGCAAATAATATTTTATTTCAATAAAAGGATCATAAACAATTATTATCTGTAAAGAAACTATTTTGGGATGCATAAAAAAAAAGAAAAAACTGCAATGAACACTTCTAATGAAGTGGACACCATCACTGCAGCTGTGAGAAGCTCTCTGTAATCTCTTTGCAAAAAAAATTTTTGAATTTTTTTTTATGGCGGTCCGCAGACGTGGTTAAAACAAGAACAGCAGCAGCCGTGTTCTTGGTGTCGTTTTTAACAGCAGACGATTGCTGTTAAGGTACAAGCGATCCGGCGTCTGTACAGCCATCGGATCGTTTGTAC